ATTTCTTTGACTTTTACAATAAGAAATGTGTTATTGATGTTTGTAGATCAACAAGTGAAAGTAGTTCTTCTTCTATGAATCATGATAGTGAAAGTAGTTCTTCTTCTATGAGTCATGATAGTGAAGGTAGTTCTTCTTCTATGAGTCATGATAGTGAAGGTAGTTCTTCTTCTATGAATCATGATAGTGAAAGTTCAGCCAATGGACCATCACAAAATAGTTCATGGATTATTCTCCTTTGGGTAGTTGTTGGATGTATTATTTGTGCTGGATTAGTAATGGTTATAGTAATTGTTGTGATAATAATAAGACGTAAGTCTTTCTCTTCAAATTCTTATAACTATTCTAAAGTACCAGAAGTACCATTGAATTGAGTTTAACATTTAATTTACTTTTTATGTTTTCAAAAATATATTTATGTTCATTTGATTTTCTTGGGTATTGATATTTTTTATAGAGTTGCTTTATTGTGTGGGTGTAGTTAATCACATCACTTATAGCTTGTTTTAGTTAAAATATTAAATTAAAATGGAGGTGCTAATAAACAAGAGCAATCAATTAATTAAAGAAGAAGTAGAAACACTTCCACATATTCAATAATCAATAGATGATACTACTAAGAATTATCAATCTTATTTAGAAAGTATTAAAGAAATGAAATATTTGAAATAAAACCAGATGAAACATACTCAGAAGCGACTAAAAGTGGAGAGGTGATATTTAATAGGATGGATGAAGTAGTTAGAAGCAGAAAATTAGTGATAGAAAAAAAAAGATAAGAAAGAAGCAATCAAAGAAGTTTTCGTAATTAACATGATTTAAGATATTGGAATAAAGATAAGAATAATGGTCAGCTAATTTTATGAACAAAGTAATAATTTCAATAAGAAGTACAATGAACATCCAAGAAAAAAAAGGATAAAGCTAGTTAATAATCATTAAATTTATAAAGAAAGATATGAAGGATGTTATAAATAACGTAAACAAAACTAATAACAGACTCAGCTAAATAATAAGAAGTAGTTTTCTTTATTTATTGCAAATTAATTTGAAAAAAATCAAGTAAATTCTTTATGGTTATATCTTTTAGGAAAATATTATTTGTCTGTTATAAAAAAGTTTTTTATTGGAAGAAAAAGGAACTTATAAGTTATATTCTTGTTATTAGAAATAAATGCAACATAATTCATTACTTATATGTCAACGGTGTAAACAAATGCTTTATTCTCATATCGATTTATCTAAAACAATAAATGACGTTATACAAAGTGGACAAAGAGATGAAAATTGTTCATTAATTGCAGAAGCAGGATTTAAGTCAAAGGCATTTGTATGTGATGAGTGTTTACAAATTGTGTTACATAAAATGGAAGATTATGAAGACTTTGAACGATACCATACAACAAAATGGAATGAACTAACAGAAGAATTAGAAAATATAAAAGAAGATATTGATAATATTGATGTAATTCTTCAAGGATATGAAAATACAAAAGAAAATGAAGAGTCAGTAAAACGGTTAAGAGAATTAAAAGAACAATCTTTTGAACAACTCAATGAATTACTTAAAGAAATTGATAAATTCGATATTAAATGTACAGAAAGTATAGAAAAACAATACTGGAGAATCAACAATAAATTATTGAAAGACCTTCAACAATCAACAGACGAACAACTAGAATTAAGTAATACAATAGCATTATTAAAAGATGAATTACAAACAATTGAAAAGAGAAGTATTTTTGGTTCATTGTTTGAAGTTGAGTCATTTAGTGATGGTTCAGTGACATTATGTGGTATTCCTTTTAAATATTCTATTGACAAAGTTAATGAGTTTAATATTGCAATGGGAAAATTAGTATTGGGTATTTATTTAATGGGAAAGAAAATCATTCCTAAACATTCAACAATTCCAATTCCATTTGATGACTATTCTCAAATATCTGTACAGATAGGTCAAAAGAAAAATGTTTATAATTTATACATTCAAAATCAATCATTTTATTCAGAAGCTGATGAATCATTCAAAGAAGGATTTAAGCATTTGATTTATTATTTTAGTGACTTATATGAAAAATGTTCAGACATATGGCCAAAATTAAAAGAAAAATATCATTATGAAATTAAACCAACAACGATGTGTGTATTTGATACAAAATTAAATAAAAGTTATTTGCTTATCTTTGATAGAACAAAAATAGAACAATGGAACAAAGCTATTGTTGGATTATTAAAATTGTTTAATTACCTTTCAATTAATTTTGATAGACTACTTGATATAATAGAGAAAACAAGTGTAATAGTAGCACAAGAAAATGAATAACTAAATTCATCACCTTCTTATTCTTCCTTTTTGTTTTTGTTGTTGAACGGAGAGTCAGTGAATAACAAAATAATATTTTTTAATTTATTAATAATTAAAATATAGTTTAATAAAAGGAAGAAAAAAAAAAAAAGAAAAAAGATGAAAATTATTAGATCTATGAGAACACAACTCAAGTACTATTTAGAAAATCAAAGTGAACGTGTTAAAACTGCTGTGTTCCACCCAACAGCAACTTTATTAATGTGTTCATTACATAATGGAGATATTCAAATTTGGGATTATCGTACAAAAATATTACTACACACATACCCTCATGCACACAACGGAGCTGTAAGAGGATTATGTTTCCATCCAAATAGACCATTAGTTGTATCAGGAGGAGATGATTGTGTTATTAGAATGTGGAATTATAGAGATAGTCATTCGGATAATGCATGTGTTGGAGAATTTAAAGGACATAGTGATTACATTCGTTCAACATATTTCCACCCAACAAAACCATGGATTTTGAGTTGTAGTGATGACAGAACTATTAGAATATGGAACTATTTGTCATTCAAATGTATAGCTATATTAACTGGCCATGACCATTATGTCCTTTCAGCTCATTTCCATCCTAGATCTGAAATACCATTTGTTATTTCATCATCATATGATACTACAGTTCGAGTTTGGGATATTAAAGATTTATATGAAAATGAACCAAGAGGAGATGGTGCAGTTGATCTCGCTGGTTCTGTTAAATTTAATATTACACCGGAACAATTTGCTGTTAATAATGCAATTTTTCATCCAACCCTTCAACTTATTTTTACTTGTGGTGATGATAAAACAATAAAAATGTGGAGATATAATGATTCAAGTTGTTGGAGTGAAGGTACATTTAGAGGTCATACACATAATGTTACAGCATGTACAGTAATGGGAGATTATCTTATTTCTGTAAGTGAAGACAAATGTGTAAATGTTTTTGATATTAAAACACAAAAGCTAATTAGAAGTTTCAGAACAAATGGTAGGATTTGGTGTATTGAAAAACATCCATTAGAAAATCTTTTTGCTATTGGTTGTGACACTGGATTAAAGGTGTTTAAGTTGGAAAGTGAACGTCCTGCTTACTTTGTTACTGGTAAATCAGTTTATTATCAAACAGCATCATCAATTAATAAATTTGACATGTCAACAAATGAAATAAAATTAATGTATTCACTTAACCATGTCCAATCAATAGTTGCTATTCCACAAGCAAAAGAAATGATTTTAGCTTCCAACGGTGAAAGTCATGAAGCAATTTGTGCTGCTTTTCATAGATCAAATCTCCAAGGAACTTCTTTATGTTATATTGGAGGGTCATTCTATCTTTCATATGAGCCACGTTCAAATACTGTTCAAAAGATAGACGTTGGTAAATCACAAGTTGTTGGTAAAATTCAATTAGAACGAAGTGGAACAAGAATATCTGCAGTTAATAGACCAAATACTTTTTGTTTATTTGGAGATGACTTTGCACAAATTATAACTGTTGAAGGAAATATTTTATTTAAGGTTGATGCAAATGGACTAAAAAGAACTGTTGCAACAAAAGAAACGCTTGTTTTATTTGGAAGTCAAACCATTCTCTTATTAAAAGATTCCAAAGACGGGTATGAAATTGTAACTAGATATACGGAAACAACACATATTAAGTCTGTTGTTATTGCTACTAGAGGAGTAATATTATATACTACAAACGCACATATCAAATATTTATTGCCAACTGGAGAAGTTGGAATTGTTCAAGGAACAGGAAATGAAGTATTATATCTTATTGCAGCAACAGCCAATGCTAAAGGATTATTAACAATTGATATAAATGGAGATATTGCAACAAAAGTTGTTGATCTTGCTGATGTTGATTTTAAAGCAGCAGTACTAAGGGGAGATTTAGCTGCTATTCATAAACATTTAACAAATACTGTATTTATTGGTGATTCAATTATTTCATTTTTAATGAAATATAAATTTGCTGAATTAGCATTATTATTTGTAAGAGATGTTCATGCCAAATTTGCTATTGCTTTACAATGTGGTAATTTTAAGGCAGCACTTGAAGCTGCAAAACAATTAAATTTACCACAATATTGGAGACAATTATCACAAAAAGCTATTAGTACTGGACATTTTAAAGTAGCTGAATTTTCATTAGTTCAACTTGGTGATTATAGTAGAGTATCATATCTTTCTGCCTATTGTGGTAATATACAATCTATGGTTAAACTGAATAAACTTGAGGCTTCTAATTCTCAAAAGTTGATATTGTCTCTTCTTTCTAATGACCAAAAAACTATGGTGAAAGAATGTTTTATTGCAAATGGTAAATTGGGTTACATTGCAGCAAAAACTAGAGGATTTGATGAAATTGCAGAAAGGATAAGTGGTGAAGTTGAAATATCTGAGAAATTAAAAGAGTTTGCAACAAAAGAACGAAAACCAATTCCAGGAAGTGTAATAAAAATGAACTTGTCATCATTAAAAGAATGGCCTCATATTGGTGTAGAAAAAAGTATTGAACAAGACTTGATTGAGGCAAAAGAAGTTAACTTAAATGAAGAAAAACCTGTCTTTGATGGTGTTAAAGTGGACCAAATTGTTATGGAGAAAAAAGAAGAAAATAAACCAATATCATCAAAGAAACAACAAGAACCAATCACTAATGAGAAGAAAGAGGATAGTGATGATGAGAATTGGGATTTCATCTAATTCATTGATTTTTCAGCTGAACCACAAACTGGACAATTTATGTTCTTACGTTTTGTCTAATTCATTTTTTAATATTTAATGTCAATTATTGAAGAAATTAAAAAAAGAATAACAAACGGCTATTACTTTATGCATCATTGTCATTCCATTAAACATTAACATTTTATTTGATAATATCTCTCCTTTTCCTAACAATACTTTAACTGTTTCCATGGCTTCAATTGAACCAATAACCCCACAAATTGTTCCAACAACTCCTACAGTCTTAGCCGTAGCATTTAATGTTGTAGATGGCATAACTGGATATAAACATTTATAACAAGGTCCATTTTGATAATTTAAAACTGTGACATGCCCTTCCCATCTTACAACAGACCCTGTAACAATAGGAATACCAAGTTTTACTCCAACAGCAGAAATGGCATAACGAGCTTGATGATTATCACTACAATCAACAAGAATATTGCATCCTTTAAAAATTTCTACTCCGTTTTGTTCATCTAAACGAATAATATGTGGTTCAACAACGATAGAAGGGTTTAATAACTTCACACTCTCTGCAGCACTTTCAGCTTTATACTTCCCAATACGTTGATAATTATGAATAATTTGTCGATTTAAATTGACCTCTTCAACAATGTCATTATCAACAATAACTAACTTTCCAATTCCAAAAGCGGCAAGGTATTGAATAACTGGACTTCCAAGACCACCAGCACCTAATATTCCAACAGTACTACCAAGTAATTTCTTTTGACCAACTTCCCCAATTTCAGGTAAGATACAATGTCTGACATATTGTTCACACATTCTTCTGTTTTATATTTTTAAGTCTTTGAGGTTTTTGGTTGAACTTCTTTTATCATAAAGTTATTTTGTTTTTGAATATTTTTGTGATTTGAGTTGTGTTTATTTGAACAGAAAAGAAAAAAATCAATCAATTAGTATGAGTAAATTTATGTGCTTTCATAAAACCATTTGCCCCAGCAGAATAGAAAATATCTCCAGTTTCATTCCAACATACAGCCGTCATTTTTGTACTGAAAGGAATAGTACATAAAGGTGTAATAGATCTAATATCCCAAATTTTAATAGAATTATCATATCCTGCAGATGCTAACAAATAAGCACTTTGAGGATGCCATGCAACACAAGTAACTAAATTTTTGTGGCTTTTTAATAATTTCATTGTTATTTGAGATTCACGAGGATCAGCAAGTCGAATAATAGAATCATTATGTCCTGTTGCAATAAGAGAATTAACAGTAGAATAATCAAGAGCAGTAGCTACTTTTGATGTTTTATAAGCAGAAGCAAGAGCAGTATTTTGAATATCCCAAATAGCAATAGTTCCATCAAGAGAAGATGAAAGTATTTGTTTTTCTACTGGCCAAATGCAATGTGTAACAGCTTGAAGATGACCATCAAGTGATGTAAATTCTGAAATTGTTTTAACATTTGACCTTGAACGTTTTTCTGTTGTTTGAAGAGTTGAACCAGAATTTAAATCCCAAACATTTACTTTTTTATCCCAACCACCACTAACAAGATGAGTACCATTTGGTGAATAACAAAGACTTTCAATTGATCCATTATGACCTGTTAAAATAGAACGATGAAGGAATGTGTTATTTTCAAATGAAAATATATGAATATTATTTGATTTTCCACCACATGCAACTTCAATTTTACCATTATTATCAAATGCATCAATTGTTTTTACTGGTCGTTTTGTTGTACCATCAGATAACAATGCATCTGTAGAACAAACAATTCCTGATTCGTTATTAGCAGAAATACTTTGATTAGCAATACCAGCAAATAAAAAAGAGGAACAATATGAAAGAGAAGTAACCCAATTCTCTTGTTGGTTATACCATTCTGGTTGAGGTGCTGGAAGAGCAACAGTATATTCTATATCTACAGTAGATTCAATAGGAATATTTTTTTCTTTAAGATGTTCTTGAAGAGTTGTACGCAGAAATTCTCCACCAACAATAAAATCAAATGGAACGACTTTAGGTAATTGTAATAAATGATTAATCAATCTCGAAAGTGCAAGTCTATTAGAATCACTAGGTACATTAAAAGTAGTTGTAGATACTTGAAACCCATCTAATTTAGTGCTAAATCTAACAAGAATAGTTGTTTCAGTCATGTTTAGGGTAAATATATTTTAAAAATTTTTTTTAAGTTTTTTCTTTTTTTTTTTTAATAAAGAAAAAAAAAAAAAGAGAATGAAAGTATTTATAGCAAATATTAAAAATATTTATTTAATAAAAATGACTTAAAATAGAACTTCTCCTGAAAAAGTCTAAAATTCAATTAACAGATCTTATTACATGTCTGATACTGAAAGTGAACACCGTATTAAAATAAGTATGTTTGGATTTCAAGCTAGTGGGAAAACGTGTTTATATAATATTTGGAGAGGATTAAATATTCCAGAAGAATATATTAAAACAACAGAAATGGAATTTGAACAAATAACAGTTAATGTGGATGGATTAAAAGTTCCTGTTTTATTAAGTGACTGGGGATATGAAGTGATGGTAACCTGTTCTGCTTCTCAACAAACAACAATTAATACATACAGTGAAAATACTGATATACAAATTTTTGTTATTGCATTAAATTCAATTGACTCATATGAATTTGTTGAAGGAGCTCCAAATTCAGTGTTTTTCAAGAAAACTGGTGAAGTTCAACAAGTTGCTATTCTTAATAAAATTGATTTAGAAGAAGATGAAGATTTACGTTCAAAAATAAAAACATTTTCTAATGAAAATGAAATTCCAATATTTGAAGTTACTACTACAAATCCAGAGTTATGTCGTAAAACATTAATCGATATTATTGATTTATATCTTGAAAACAATCCACAATATAAACAATCTTTAAAAAAAGGATTTAATAATAAAAAGTCTTCAGAAAAAACTAAAAAGACATCTCTTTCTATTACTTCTTCACAATCTAATAAAAAAGAAAAACAAGGATGTTGTACATTATTTTAATTATATAAAAGAATTAAGTTTGATAATAACACAAATGATTCAATTCTTACATAGAGTGTTAATATATTTTTCTATTACTAATATTCTAAAAATAGGTTAGAAATAGAAAATAATTATGAAAAACTTGTTGAATTAAAATAGTTTTTATATTTTGTTACTTCGTTATTTTTTTTTTTTTTTCGTAATTTCTTACAAATTTCTCACTTATTTTTATTATTTTTATTTCCTTTTTCTTCTTCTTTCCTTATTTTTATTAAAAATCTATTTTTAAATTAGTTTAATGTAATTAATAACAAAATTTTTCTTTTATAAAATATTTTTTTTATTGTTATATTTTTATTAAAAATATTTTAATTGTTTATTTAATTTTACAGTATTTTTATAATCGTTCAATTCTAGAAGTTAGTGGATAAATTGTATTATAAATATTTGAAAGAAGTTTTATGGAAAGTTCAAAAAGAATATTTTTTGATGTTCTTCTTATATAATTGGTTTATTTTAATTCATAAATGATAAATAAGAAAATGTAATATTTCAATACAATTATATTAGTATAAAACAAACGATACAATATAAAGAAGTAACTTAATTAATATTTATATAAATTAATTGTACAAATCAAGAAAAAGAATAAAAGAATAACTTCAATATCAATAGAAAAAGGAATAAAAACTTCATGAAGTTAATAATACAAAAATATTTAAAATATTAAAATCTTTTTGTTATAATTAAGAAAAAATTATAAATAAATAATTTTTTTTTTGGTTTTTATTTTATAATAAATCTCAAATGAACTAAAAAAAATAGAGTATTAGAATGTCATCAATTCCAATTCATCAAACATTTTACTCTCTTGGAAAACAATACATGATGCTTAACAATTATTTATCAGCTCGAATTTATTTTTTATTAGCAGCAAGTTATACCAATTGTTTGTTTTAATAGCTTCAATAAAATAAATGAATAAAATAATGAATAGATAAGAATATTGAGATAATAACAAGTTTATGTGATTCATTACTACAACTTAATCAGAAAAATCAATCACAATTATTAATTCTTAAATTATTTGGTGTTTCTCATTTAAAATATTTAAATACACCATTTCCTTCTTTAACAACATATCAATTATATATTATAACTAAATGTTTTGAAGATGATTTAGATTCATTACAAGTTATTTCTCAAATGACAAGTACTCCAAGTCCATTAAATTTATTACAACCTACTGAAATTATGCAAACTGCAAATATTTCATTTAGAGTTATTTATTGTCAAAATAATACATCATTAATAAGAAATTACTTAAATAGTGCAATTGAAGATTCATTAAATATTGGATTAATACATATTTTTTTTAAACAAAAATTAGAAATTTCGTTAGTCCCTCAATCATTAAAGAAAATGATTAATAATTGTTCTCTTCCAGAAGTACGTGAATTATATGAATTATTATTTTCATTATTAACTCGTAATGATGTTGATTTCGTTCAAAGAATTTTATTAATGAAACAAACCAATGCATTACTTGAAAATTCTCAGTTAGTTCAATTAATAGAAACATTGTTTTCTTTTAATAAAAGAAAATATGAAGATGCTTTAGGACATTTAGAAAATTGTTGGTGTTTTAATACAGAAGTCCTACATACATCAATTGATTTTCATCTTAATAATACAATTAATTATAACTTTGATAATCTTAATGAAGAAGATGAATTAACAAAATATAAAATGGGACTTAGAATGATTCAATTAAAAAAATTAGATAAAGCCATTGAAATATTAAAAGATAGTAAAGAAGTTGAAGGTATTATTGCATGTGGCTATGTTTATAGTTTACAAAAAGAATATCAAAATTCTATTAAATATTTAAATCAAGCATCAGCGTTTGTTCCATTTTGTTTCGAATTGAAATTAGTTATTATTCAACAATTAATTTGTTGTAATAATCTTTCTATAGCTGAAGAAGAATTAAACCAACTTATTGGTATTGTTTCAACTTGGGAATTATTTTGTACAATTGGCCAATTAAGGTTTGCTCAACACCGTTATGAAGATGCTTTAAAAGCTTATAATACGTCTTTAGAAAAACTTGGTAATGATTCTTCTAATTATTTAACTAAAATTATTTATGGAAATATTGCACAATGTTGGAGAAAATTGAACAATTTTGATGCTGCTATTGAAGCATTTAATAAAAGTCTTGGGTTTAATGACTTTGTTGCATTGTCTGGAATAGGGTGGTGTTTCTACATGAGTAAAAATTATATTGAAGCACTAAAGTATTTCCAAAGAGCATTAAGTTTTAAAGAAGATCCTTTATGTAGGAAATTTATTGAAATAATTTCAAATCAGTGATTTGTATTGAAACTATTTTGGTTTATAGAGTCTTCAATAATAAATAAAGAATGTTTTTTTTTATTTAATTTAATAAAGAATATTTTCATCAATAAAAAGATGTTTTGAAATAAAGTATGATAGTATCTTTTTTGTCTTGACTAGTCATTAATATAAAGTATTATTTTTAATTAATATTAATGAACAATCATTATAACTTATTATTTATATTTTGATTTTAATATACTTCTAGATTAGAGTAAGAGATGAAATTAAAAATAATTTTTATTAACGATTAGAATATTTATCAATAAATTAGTCAATTAGTCAAATTAAAGAATAATTATTGTAGAATTATAAGAATTTTTTATTGTGTTACTTAAATACTCTTAATAAAATTAATTATAAATATAAATTTAATTTGTTTTTAATTACTTTTTATTTTATTTGAAATAAATAACAAAAAAAAAATATATTAAATAAACTATTAGTTATTATAATTTACTTAAAATCTCTTTTGCTTCCTCACTACCTAATTCTGATGCTTGTTCAAACCAAACTATTGCCATTTCATGTCCTTCTTCATCATTTTTTTCAAGTAATAATTTTCCTAAACGAACCATTCCATTTTTATCACCATTTTCAGCTGCTTTATTCAAACAATCAAATACCTTTTGTGGTTGGTTTAATTCCTGATAACAATCACTAACTTCAACATAATCATTAAATCCTTTTGTTAAAGCACTTTCATACCAAACAGCAGATTTTGATAAATCTTTTTTAACACCAATACCATTCTTAAATGCACGAGCAATCATTAAACATGCATTTAATCCAATATTTTTATATCCAATAATATCTTCAGTATTATTTTTAAATTCTGATAAAAGTTCTTCACTTCCAGTAAACAAAGTTTGAATAGCTACATAATACTTACACTCAATGTCTTCCATATGTTCACGTAAAAATTGAATATTCCTTGAGTTATAATTTGCCCGACAAATATCCAGAATTCCATTTAATTTTTTTAATGTATCGTCAAACCTATATTCAATTAAATCAAAGATACTTTGTGCATTCTTGAATTCTTTCTTATCAATATAATATTTAATCAGATAAATTGATGCATCTTTATTCCCTAAAGATACACATTTTTTCATAAATTCTATTGCTTTATTATTTTGACTTCCTTGTTGTAGCAATTCTATAGCGGCAAGATATAAAGCATCTTGATAATTAGAATCTGCTGCACAGATAAGATATTGCATATCTTTTGTAATTTTATATAAAATAAACATAGCTTCAGGAAGTGGTAGTGCTTGTTGAATTAATTTAAGACAATCATCATTAACATGAAGAATATCTTTCTTTAAATCATCATTTGAAATCATAGTTTTTGCAAGAACTAAAGAGGCATATGGATTACCATTATCTGCCTTTGATTTATAAAAATGGAGAAGCTTATCATCAAGTTTTAACATTCACTTAAATTTCTCAGTTCTTTTTTGAGGTTTGAAGGAACAAATTATTAAATAACTTCAATTTAAACTTCACAAAAAAGAAAGAGAAGTGAACAAAAACAAATGAATGACAAATTTCAGAATTATTTATTACTCATCTTCTCTTTAACAGTACAAATAATATGATAACAATAATACAAATAATAAATAAAATAATCAAAGCAGCCATTGTCATAAGAACTGATATTACAATACAGAATTCGTTTGAATGTTGTTCTTTAGAATTAAAAGAATCACGCCAATGTGCAATTAATGGAAATGTTTCATTAACATAATCATCACTTGTATCATCTACACTAACAGAACCTAATTGTTTGGATGGATCTTGATTAACAATCATAGGTGATGGTGAAATAGTTGGACTAATTGAATTGGTTTGTGAATTTATAAGAGGATCTGTCATTAGAAACTGAACAAAATACTTTTTTCGATAAGAACTGAAAAGAGTTCCATCAGGGCTGAAAAATTTTTCTTTTTTCCATTATTGGTTTTTCTTTTTCTTTCTTTTTTTCAACTTCAAATCATTAACCAATAATTATTCTTTTTATGAGTAAGACTAATTCATCAAATTTATCTACTCCTCAAACTACACAAAATATTAAAAATAAACATCCAATATTTAAAGAGTCTACTTCTCCAAGATTTCAAATGATGTCAAGTTCACCATTATTTCAGAATTTAGAGTTTGTTTTAAAGTATTTATTATACAACACATCATTAATTAACGCTATAGATATAATCATATGACTAAAGACTTACAAGAAAAATATGGAACTAGTCTTAAATTTAAAAATAACCAAAATGATAATGAAATAGGAATTAGTGAAGCTCTTAATATTATGGTTACTATGATTGTTTGTGGTTGTGCACTTGGATTTATTGGATATGGATATGGTGGACCTGTTTATGCTGGACTTGGAGGAGCAATTGGAATATTTATTGGTATGATTGTAGATACATTGTTAGTTATTATTTATTCAAATAAATTAGGACAACCTAAATCTCATTCAAAACATCAACAAATTCAAATTATAGAAAGAAAATCTAATGAACATAAAAAAACTGAATAAATTGATTTATGGAAATTGTCTTTTGTTTATCTATTGTTAATATAAATCATATAAGTTAAATTATAAAGTATTTTTAAAAGTTTTGTACATAATAATTATTCAATTCAAATAATTTTGAAATTGCTAATAAATTAATATGTTAATAAATATTGTTATAAATAAAAATATATGTTGTTATTAATTAAAGTAATAAAATATTAAACAAACTTGTTGTAATTGTTTTGCTTGTTCTGTTTTTTGACAACTTATAAATGATTTTAATGTAATTTTTAATGCAATTTTAACATCTTCTGTTGTTACAACTCCTCGTAAATGAATCTTAGCATGTGCTTCTGAAAGACGATTAATTGCTTCAATTTGACGAGCAGTAACTTGTCCAGTATGATATTTATCACAACATTTTCTCATTTCTATATAAGCTTGTTGAATCATTTGTGATCCAACAGTCCCACTCCATTTAGGATGACAATTTTGACGAGCATAAGCAATATATTTCTTTAATAAAACATGTGAAATGATATTTGTTTTATTAACAATTGGAGCAATTGATTCTCTTTTTTGAGAAGCTTCAGGATGATTTATTGAATGAGATTCAACTACAAATTGTGCTAATTTATAATCTTTTTCATAATCCACAACATCTCTAACAATCATAATAAGATCAAATCGAGAAATAATAGGTTCTGTTAGATTTACATTTTGATTTAAGTTCTTGTTTGGATTATATTTTCCTGTTTTAGGATTTGCTGCTGCAATAACAGAACAACGTGCTTTTAAACTAGTAACAATACCAGCCTTAGAAATAGAAATTGATTGTTGTTCCATTGCTTCATGAATAGATGTTCTGTCTTGATCATCCATTTTATCAAATTCATCAATTAAACATACACCTTCATCAGCAAGAACTAATGCACCTCCTTCCAATGCCCATTCTCCATTCATTGAATCTTTTTTTACAGCTGCAGTTAAACCAACAGCAGTACTTCCTCTTCCTGTAGTAAAAACAGCCCTTGGTGCTAATTTTTGTGAATATTTTAATAATTGTGATTTGGCAGTTCCTGGATCACCTAGTAAAAGTACATTAATATCACCTCTCGTTCTATGATTTCCTTTATCAACTAAAACCCTTTGTTCTCCACCAAAAAGTGCAAGTGCAATTGCTGCTTTTGAAGCATCATGTCCATATATTGCTGGTGCAATTGAATTAATAATGATTTGAAAGATTTGTGGGTTGTTTGCTAATCTTCTAATTTCTTGTTCTTCTTCATGAGTTATTGTTGTTGAAATAACATCACCACTTCTTTTTTCTATAGTATTTGCTTCAATAACCGTACAAAATACTGGAAATCCAAAATTACGATTAAGTCCTGTTTCATAATTATGGACATACATTCCAGTTATATCAATTTCTTCTCCTGGTTGTGCTTTATCAATAAGATCACCTAATAAAATAACATCCTTTGTACGAGGGACATTTCCAGCAGAAACACTATTAGGTGGTTCTTGTATTGTAATCTTTTGATAATTTTGATAAATTGTGTTTTGTACATCAATACTAAAAGGTCCTTTTGATTGACAAACAGTGCATACTTGAAGTTGTGGAACTTTATTCATTTCTTTATTAATAAAATATGGTCCTAATCGTGCTTGACATACTGAACAAATATATTTCACTGCTTTTAACTGTGGAAAAATTGCAGTGACTCGGGTTACTATTCCAACAACACGAATTAAAGTATTAATATGACAATGCCTTAAGTCCCTAAGTGCTATTCTTGTAGTATAATCAACAATACGAACATTAACTTGTTTTCTAATATCTTTATAATCTGGATATAATAGGAGTGTGGCTTGTGTTGCAGCTTCTGAAAAAATTGGTATTACACTTGATGGACATAATACAATCCATTGGGCTAATAACTTTGATGACTTTGCTAAATGTAGAAAACTAACATCCAAACTTCCTGAATTTCTACTTACCATTTTTCTAATTGATAAAATATACACAACATTCTTTGATGTCTCTGTTTCTGTGTAATATAATAAAAAATTCTTTAATGTTTCTACTAACAAATCATGAACATCTTCTTTTAAAATAGCATCCTTAATATGTTCTTTAGTATACATTTGTAATTTACTTTCAGCTTCACTCATCATCATTTGTAATTGTTCAATTGGCATTTTTTCTATTTCTCGTTGCTTAAATCGTTCTTTTACTTCTTCTTCATTTAATCCAAATTGTGGAATGACAATATCAGTATCTTGTTTCATTGTTAATTTTTCAATTTCACTCCTTCTTCTATGTTGTTGTTCAACAAGTAAATTAAATTCTTCAATACTTGAATCTTCTTCATCAATAACTTTCCTCATTAATGCATTTCTTCTATCAATTTCTTCATCTGCTTTTCTTCGAGCCTCAATTTCATCAACACCTTCATTATGTTCAATCTCATTATTAATCAAATTAGGATCATCATATTCACTTTCTTCACTTCTTTCATAATCTTCATCCATTAATTTAGGATTAAATAAATCTTCTCCTTCATCATCAGATGACTCTGTTTCATTAAGTTCATTCACTCCTTTTGCTATACCAATTTCTTTTTCATACTCTCGATCTTCTAATTCTTCTTCCTCTATACCATCATTTGGTATCACATCTAAACTATCTTCCTGATGTTCATCTGTTTCATCGTCATGGTGTGTTTTATTATTATCGTCATTTTCTTGTAATATTTGATCAATCATACTGTCATTTAATTCTTCTTCGCTCTGAGCTTCTTTTTGTGTTGTAGGATGGTCTTTATGAGGATCAGCTGAATCTGTCATTCCTTAGTATATTCACATTAATAAGTTCTTTTTCAAGGAATTAAAAACACATTCTACTTTTAAGTATTTTTGTTATAGAAATTTTCATTTTTGTTTTTACAAATTAATAAAACATAATTTTGAAAGAAAAAACGAATAAGAAGAATTCTTAAAATAAAATTAAAGAAATTAATAGAAGTTGTAGAAACATCTTTTTTATAGAAAAAAAAAAAAGAAAAAATAACTTGTGAAAAATGACTATCTGAACTAGAAAATGAAAGAGTTTCAAGATGACCCAAGACGCGGTCAAACTATGTATTATTGGTGATTCAGGTGTTGGAAAAACTTGTATCTCAAGTAGGCTTGTTGATGGAACATTTAAATCAGACGAAAAATCAACTATTGGTGCTTCATTTGTAACTACAAATATTGAAAATAGTAAAATAGTTATTTGGGATACTGCTGGTCAAGAGAAATATAGATCTATGGTTGGTATGTATTATCGTGGTGCTTCTGGAGCAATTATTGTTTATGATATTACAAGTAGAGCAACATTTGTTGATTTAGATGCTTGGCATGCTGATTTAATGAAGACTGCAACTGATGATATTGTTCTTTGTATTGTTGGAAATAAATCTGATTTAGAAGCATCAAGGCAAGTAAGTACTGATGAAGGAAAAGAGTTTGCTTCAAAGAAAAATGCTATGTTTTATGAAGTTTCAGCAATGAATGGAAAAAGTTTGTCTTTTTTATTTGTTTTTTTTAAGTGTTTTTATTAAAAAACATAATATTTTCATGTATTTATTCTTTAGATGTTACTGAACTTTTCACTGAAATTACAAGAAAAATTAAATCTTCACAACCACAAAAACCACAAGGAGGACTTTCTTCTTCTGACAATATAAACGTTGCTACAGTATCTACACAACCAACAAAAAAGAAAGGATTCTGTTAAATCATTAATTTTTTTTCTTTTCATTTTTTATTCTCTTTGTTTTATTTTATTTATTTGTTGTGAGAGTTAATTGTATTGGTTGTTTGGTTTTTATTCTAAATGATGATTCTATGAGAAATTAAATTCTTTTTTCCTTTATTTTAAAATTATTTTCTTTATAAACATTACAAATGACAGTTAACTGATTATAGATACATGTATTTTTATGTCTCATTAAAAGAATTAATGGATTAAAAAATATTATCCATCATTAGATTAATAAATTTATTGATATTTAGTTTAATTGACTGTGACTCATAATAAAAGAGTAATAAAATAGATACTGTCAATAAATTTTTATTATGTTAATGTAAAAGAGAATTAATTTGTTAAAAATTTAACTGGTATTGACTTAGCAGAAAGTAGTTTTCATTTATTTGAGTTTTTAATATAATTAAATAAACAACAAAGGATCAAACTCTATATAAAATATGTTTTTTTTAAGAAAAAAATAAGAACTAACTTAATATCATTAACTACTACTACACCAATTATTGGTTAAATCAATTCATTATTTTTCTTTTTAATATTATTTTGATAAAAAAAATGAATAATAAATACTAAATTTTGACAGAATAATCTATTTCTCTTGTTTTATTGAAGGATTTTATTTTTAAACTTAAAGATATTTTTTTCCAATTATGGAAAAGGATATTTTGATATTTTTAAAAAAGAAAAATGATAGATATATGAGTCTTTGGATATTAAAACTCTTAAAATTACTCCCTTCTTAGAATGAATTTTAATGATAATGATATAAAAATAAAATTGAATGAAATTATGATATTTATTATTGATTTTTCATTTAACTTTTATTAAAAAATCAAAATTATCATTACTTGTTAATTTGTGTTTAAAGTAATTTAATAACTCTTCATAAATAGAAAATTGAAGATAGAATAAGTAGATTTAAAATTTTATTCATAACTTTAGTCTTAAAAGTAGTGAGGTAATATTATTAATTAAAACAATGATTGTATTTTGATAATTAATATTTCTATCTCTCAACTATAATTATTTAATTCTACTCTTTACATTTATTTAAATTTTACAAATCACTTTCATAAGAAGTTTTACTTGAACTTTCATTGTTATCATTACATGTTAATGAATCATCCTGATCTTTTTGTTCTTCTTCATTTGTATGTAGATTTTGAATTTCATCTTCTTTTTCTTCTTGCTTTTGTTCATCACTGTCACAAAAGCTTTGACTGTTAAACCTTCTGTTTTCATCTTCATCATTTTGATTTGAAGTATATTCTTTTTCATCTTCATCATTTTGACTTGAAATAAGTTGATTGTCATTATCCTGTTCTTGACTTGAAGTATATTCTTTTTCGTCTTCATTTTCTTTATTTGAAGCAGATTTTTTTTCATCTTCCTGACTAATAACCTCATCTTTTTTACCTTTTTTCATTATAATTACTTCTTCACTTGATGACTCTTTCCAAACATTATCATCATACCCATAATATTCTAATATTCTTATTGTTTTATTTTCTTTTTCTCCTACTTTTATTCCATTTGTACCAAGAATAAATTCATTCTTGAATCTGACAGTATCTCCTTTTTTTAATGGAAGTGGTTTTGAAGGTTTCTCTTGTTGAACACTGACTTGTACTAATTCAGGAGGTAATCTAAAAGGGATAACTTCTTCACTTTTTTCCTCCTCTTCCTTCTGTTCTTTGAGTCTTTGATATTTTTCTTTAAGCCTTTGTTTTTTCTTTTTTTCTTCTTCTTTTTCCTGGTCATTTTTTCTAGTAATTATTTCCTCACTGTCAGAGTTATCCAATTCATCTCTCCATTCATCGTAAATTCTCTGTTCATTAATTACATCTTCATTACTTTGTTTTCTTTTTCTACCACCACTGACTTCACGTTTAAATGATTTACTCATTTTATCTTCTTAGTTTTAACATATAAAACCAAAACCCCAGTCAAATTAAGAAACCTATTCATCATTTTAATTCAATTTAAAACAAAATTAATTTTTAGATAATACGTGTGAGTTGAAACTTCCCATCGTTCTTCTCCATATTTTCCAGTTGTTTCATCTAATTCAACTTCCATATTTGGTATTTTAAATGCAATAGACTGATATGGTTCTGCTGCTATTATCAAATATTGATAATTATTATCTGGTGGTTCAACATGTTGTTCAAAAGCTCCCATAATTTTAAATAAAGGAATAACACCATTAGCTATGTCTGGTAAATTGACAGTAATTGCAAGTGATTTTTGATGAGTTGTTGAGTCAATTTGTTTAGTAATAGAAAACCCAGGAGTTCCAATTTTTTCAAAATACCTAATTGGTACTTTAGGTATAGCAGTGTTATTTTCTTGAACATCATGCATTTTCATTTCTTTTAATTCTCTTGCACGAAGATTTTGTTGGTGCCGTTTTCCTTGAGTATGTGCTAAATAATTTGCTTCTGTAAGGTGTGTTGTTAGACATAGTTTACATTGATATGTACCAACATGTGTTTTATAGAAATATGGGTCTTTACTTAAATCAATTCTTTCAAGAGCAAGTTGTTTTAATCTTTCTTTTCTTGCAGCAGCAGTTTCAGCGAGTGTTGCTAGTCCACCACTTCCAGGTTTACTTCCATGTTCTCTTCCAAACATATTAACAATTATTCATTCTATTTTTTTTATTTTTTATTTTTTTCTAAAGTTCTATTAAATCATTTTATCATATTCATGTCAGAATCTTATCTCACTCATAGAAATATATCAATTTATGGTATCTTATTTATTCATTTGTTTTTCCTTTATTCATTCAGACATAGAATTAAACTTTATAGATGATATTTATGAAATTGAAACCTTTCAAAAAAAACAAGAAAAATTAGATATTGTTCTTATAGTTTGTTAATACTATTTGATTAGTTGTTAGCTTATAATGTAATTCAATTATACAGAAAGTATTAACCATTCTTGGAGTAGTTATTTTAATATTTAAAGTAATAGACATAATCGTTATATTATTTCCACTTCCAATTTCAAATTATGCAAGAATAATACATAATTGTGTTTCAATTATTTTTATAATTCCTTCATTTTATCTTTGGCCTCATAAAGAAAGATATTACTTTGAACAATACTGTAAACCAAAATATTTATTAGTCCCACTTATCTTAATGTTTGGTCTTTGTTTTTTATATGTTTCAATGTTAACATCAATTTATTTGTATGGAATAAATGTCATTTATGAAATCATCATAGCATATTGTATGTATGACATTAATGACTCTTACAAATATGTAAAACAGTTTCTTGACAACTCAGTTTATCAAAATTAGAAGAAATCTTTTCATTAAAACAATCTCGGAAAAATTAGAGCAAAAAGACATTAAAAATAAATTCTGAGACTCATAGATTAATTTTTAGATTTTGTGATATTCTTTTCACTTTTTTTCATTGAATGTGATTTTGTAAATAGATAGAAAGTTCTACAAAGTAGTAAAGTTTATTTCTTTTAATAATAAGATCTCTAAACTGACGGGGAAAAATAATAAAAAAATGAAAAAAAAAAAGAAATATATCGTTGTTTCTATTTTTTTAAAGAAGAAGATTGAAGATGTTTGTGGATCTCAAATTTCAATGAGTGATCATCCAAACTTTGCAAAGCTTAAAAAAACCCAAGTAGGTCAGTTAAAACCATCAGTAAAAGAGGGGTATCTTGTTAAAAAAGGTGCAGACTTTCATACCTGGAAAAAAAGATGGTTTGTTATGAAAGATCAATACATTTGGTATTTCCCTAAAAACACTGGAAGTGCTCAACCAAAAGGTGTTATTGAATTAGATGGGAATTCTTCTGCTGTTCTTGTTCTTGATCAAAAAAAACCAACAATTGTTATTAAATCAGTTCATAGAACTCAAGAAATTAATGCTGATACTGTTGAAGATGCTAAGTCATGGGTTGATGCTATAAATAACCATGTTAAAACACTCGGACCACAAACTACACCACAAAGTAGTTCTCAACCTCAAACACAAGTTCAACAACCAGTAAACACTGCACCAGTTCAAATGTCAACAGAAACAGAAAGTACATCAGTTCCATTACCATGGGCTCAAGTTCAACAAAGAATTCAAGCAGAAGAAGGACATTGGGATCCAGCTAAAATTAAAGAATTTATGGTTACATTGGGTAAAGTTACTTGTGACCAATATTTATATGCAATTATGAATATGGTTCTTTCAAATTGGCAAGATGATGCTATTGCCGCATTTTGGTGGGATGATTTTTGTGATGGAGATTTGGAAGATCTTGAAACTGTTGTTGCGGGACTTCAAGGAGACTCAACAGTTGCAATTGGAAGTGATGGTAAAAATCTTCCACCAAATGAAACAGTTTTTGTTTTAGGAAGAGATGAAAATGGAGCAAAACGACTTGCTAATATTTATCAATGGGTTGTTAAACGTGAAGAATTCAATTGGAGTGAAGTTACAAGATGTGTATTAAGTGCAATTGGCAATTGGGGATTAAAAACAAGTGAGCCATTTTTTGAAGTGTTTGTTAATGAAATAGTTAAAAATTGGAGCGCTTCAGAAATAGCTGCGTTTGTTAGTTATATTGCTACATATGCAAAGAAAAATGAAGATGTAGCTTGGGAAAATTGGCCACCACATGTTGTTACTTTCTTTAAAAAGTTTGTGATTTTAATGAGTAAAATTTAAATAAAAAGAATATTAACATCATATAGAATGTCTGCTGATTGGGATGCTGAAAAGAAAAAATCATTTTTAAACATTGTCACTGTAATGTGGGATTGGCCAAAAGAGAGTATTCAAAGGCTTAACAATGTTTTGCATGACACAGAATAAAACAGTGCATTTCTTTAATTTTTAAAGAATTTGTTTTTTTTTTTTTGTTTTCTTTCTTCATTAATTTTTTTGAAGAAACTTAAAAAAAAGGAATTTGATATGACTTACAGTAGATGTGGTATTGTTGCTCTAACTGAAAGAAAGTCTCGATTTCTTGAAATACAAACTGATAGAACTTCATATCTTCTTGGAGATGTTGTACTTGTTACTATTAATGCTAAAATGGATCATATGCCAAGATATGAAAGTGTTGTACTCTTAGTTTCTTGTGTTGGAACAATAAGTAGAACATTTACTGATGTTAAAATGCCTCCAAACCCAAAGGTATTATCAAAAACATATTTTGAAATGAAAAATGAATTTATGAATCAAAATTTCCCGTTGTCATATAGTTTTTCATTACCTGGAACATCTCCTTTCACTGGTGAAGAAAGTTCATTTGTATTATCAAATTCTATCACTTCTCAAATCTTTAAGATTAATGCAATGCACTCTTATCGGTTTGTTTTGATAATTCCCTCTTAAATTATTTCTACACAAAAATACAAAATAATAAATTTAGTATTGATTTATTTGTTAAACAAGAAGGAAAAATCTATTTGGCTGAGCAGAAAGATATTGTTGTTAGAAGAACTTTCCAACAAATACAACCTTCTCCTTCTTGGAACTTTGAAATAGATAATTTTAAAATTAAAATTGTATTAGATAAACCTTCTTACTATCCTCAAGAAAATGGGTTTTTGTTATTTGAAGTTAACAGTAAAGTTCAACGTTCAACCTCAATTCCTAAAATCAGTTTCAATCAAACATTAATTTTTAACTTTGATGACCAACAAATTGTTGTCAAAAAACAAATTATTCCTCAAATGTCATTACCAGCATTTCAACCATATTATTATGGCAAACGTCCTCTTCTTTTTAAAATCCCTGAAGGTCTTCCTCCTTCACATTCAACACCATTGTTTAAAGTAGAATATTCATTCGATATTAATATTGATCTTTTTTATGAAGGAGGAACTCAAACTCCATTAAAAGTAATATTAAAATCTACAATATTAGCACCACCTAATTTATGTGGTGCTTGTGTATTTATGCCTCTCATTACTAATGACTTTAATCCTCCAAGTGAAAGTATTTTAAGACCTTTTTGGCAAGAAGATAAATCAACTGATACATGTGGGATATGTGGAGCAAGTTTTGGTCTAATTACTCGTCGACATCATTGCCGACGATGTGGAAAAGTATTTTGTGGAAGTTGTTGTGTTGATAGTGTATTGATGAAAGACCTTGGTTTTGATAGACCAGAACGTGTTTGTAAAAGTTGTTTCAAGTTAATTCAGTCAAATTAACATTTATATTTGTTATATATATCATCAACTTTCATATAATATTTTTTATTAGTATTATTGGAACAAGAATGAATCGACTACAAACTAAAAATAGTGTTTCTTTTTTGGGTTGTATTTTTAGGAAAAATTTCACGCAATTACAATACAAAAGAACAGAGAGTGAGACAAACGAATAGAAAGGAAAGTGACTTAAGAAAAATTTAATGAAAAAAAAATTAGAAAAGCCAAAAATACATTCAAAAAAAATAGAAAAGAATAAAAGCCAAAAAAAGACATTAAAAGTCTATTTTTTCCCCAACTAGGAATTATTTAAGGGTTATAAAGACTGAAATTTTTTAGTTAAATAAGCTATGGGTTGCTTCGGATCAAAACCAAAGAAAGAAAACAGTGGAAATAATAAACCAAAGGCAGAGAAGAAAACTGCTACTGAAATGAAACAAGTTGATAATAAACCAAAAGACCAAAAAGTTGATACTAAAACAACTAATAATAATAAACCAGCAGAAGGAACCCATGTTCCTAAACCAAAAGGAGATGCACCAGTTATTGAAGATAGACCAAATGGAAAGAAAGAAGTTGTATCAGGTGATAAAAGTATTCTTCTTGATGAAATCTATAAAAAACATTATGCTAATGTCGATAAGGCTCATGATGAAGTTGAAGAAGCAAAACAAGCATGGTTGGCTGCTAAAGAAAAGAAAGATCCAAATACTCAAAAATTAAATCAAGTCTTCCAAGACAAAAAAGCTAACTTTGAAAAAGTTAAAGAACAAGCTCATCGTGCTGCTTTTAAAGAAGTCCAAATTTATATGGTTGATGAAGATGCTATTGATTTACATGGACTTCAAATTGAAGGAGCAATTATGATGATGAAAGAAGAAGTTGCAGCCAGAAGAAAGGCTGGAAAGAAAATATTAAAAATTCAATGTGGAATGGGACATCATAATACTGTTGGATATTCTAAGATTAAAGAAGAAGTTGTAAAACAACTTAAAGATATGAGTGAAAAGTTTACTGAAGATAAAGATCACGGATTCGTTAATGTTGAACTTTAATTGTAGAAGTGGTAATTTTATTCATTTATAAAATTTATAATATATTATTTTTAGATAAATAAATATGGCAATAAAAAAGAATATTAGGAAAATAAAGCTTTTATTTAATTTATTCTATTTTAACTCTCAAATATTTAACTTCATAAGCCGGATTTTAGTTGCCCTTTTTTTTGAAATGTTTTGTAACACTATTTTTTATAATTATAAATCACACAAATTTAGTTACGTAATAAGATTGTTTCAATGAAATATGAATCACAAAAAAAAATTAAAACAAATTCACTTAGAAAAGATAACATTTTGATTTTTTTGGCTCTTTTTTATTTTCTAATGGAACAGTATCATTATCATCTACTGCACATGTCTCTGCAACTTCAAGAGCCATACACTTTAATGCCTCTTTACACCCATCACCAGTTTTAGCTGAACAAACAAAATAACTCTTATATGACTTATCATTCACAAACTCATCTGCCTCTTCTTTAGGAGTTTTAGAATCTCCTAAGTCACTTTTATTTCCAATAAGAACAACAACACATTTTGGAGAAGCATAATAAGTAATGTCTCTTGCCCAATTTGTTAAATTTTTAAATGAGGTTTCATCAGTTAGGTCAAATACTAAAAAGATACCACACGACTTTCTATAAAATGAAGAAGTTAATATTCTAAACCTTTCTTGACCAGCAGTGTCATAAATCTCTAATTTAATATTTTTCATTTTCGTTGATTCAGAAATATCAACATCAATTACTTTAAAGTTTGTAGAAGTAGAAGGTTCTTGGTCATCAAATTTGTCTTCAGTGAAACGGGTTAATAAACAAGTTTTACCGACACCAGCTTCACCAATCACAAGTATTTTAAAGTTAGTGGGAGAAGAATTTGTGCTGGAAAGTGAATAAAAGGGTTATCATTAAATATCTTTAAAAGAAAAGAAAACAACATACTCGTATTGCATCAAACTGAGAGAACTTAGATTTCTCTTTTTTCCTTGTCTTTTTAGATTTTTCTTCTTGTTGATTATTTGAGATTGTTAGATTTTTTTTCTCTTTTAATACTTATTTTATTCTTAGAATAATTGGATTAATTATGAAACGGCCTTTCAGCTCGAATTAAGAAAAGAAGAGGAATCTTACAATTATTTAGATTATCTCATCAAAATGTCCGATAGCAAAGAAAGTGTTATTTTGAATGTTGTTCCTGACGAAGCATCTGAAAAACTACCCAAACTACCTACCTCACAACAGAAAGAGAGAATTAAAAATGCTAAGAAACAAACAAAAAACTCAAAAAAGAAAGTAAAAGAAGTAAAGAAACAGCAAAAACAAGAAATCAAGAAGGCTAAAAAGGATATGAAAGAAACCAAAAAGGTAGAGAAAGAGACAAAGAAGTTAGCCAAAAAAGAGTTGAAGGATGAAAAGAAAATGACTAAGGGATTAGTTAAAGCTGACAAAAAAGAAGCTAAAATTACTTCTAAAGCCATTAAAGACGTTAAACAAAATGCAAAAAAAGCCGATCTCAATTGAATTATTCCTTTTCAAATCTCATTTTCTTTATTTCTCGAAGAAGAGACAGTTAGTGTTTTGCCAAAAAGTTCGGCTTTGTTCATATTTAATATTGCTTGACTAGCGTCTTCTTCATCTTCAAAAACAACAAATCCATATCCTTTATTTAATTTTCCATTATCTTTTGGGAGTTGTATATCAGTAATTTCTCCAAACGGTAAAAAAACTTCATATAATAATTGTTCATCAACAAAATCACCTAACCCACTTACATATATTCTTTTTGGTGTTTGCATTTGAAATATCAGTTTGAGTTAAAGTAAATGAAAGAAAAAATTAGAATTAAAAAGTTAATAAAATTATTATTTAATCCACTTCTTGTTTTCTCTTCTCTAACAATCCTTTTCCTACTGTTAAATTGTTCACAAATAATAGGAAATATTTTTTAATTCTTGAAATTTCCTCAATACGTTCTGCTTCTGGATCTCCAAGGATAAATAAATCAACTGTTCTTTTTACTGACTTTTCAACTTTTGTTAACATATCATATAGTTCTAGATATTTTTTTATAGTAGTAGAAACAGCCTCGTCTATGTCATCTATTAAAAACGCTTTTGCAACATCACATAGTTTCCATTTATCATCACACAATATATGGTATAATACTTTCTTAATTTCTTCTTGTACTTGGAAATCAAACGTCTCATTATTCTTTTGTGACTCAATAATATGGGTATTAAATTCTTCTAAATTATCAATAACTCTTGTTATGTAGTCTATTGCTTTTTCTATTGGTGTTAATGTTATCATTTTCCTTTTTGTAACAGCAACCCTTCGTTTAGAGGATGGTAATTTTGATTGAGTGTTGAGAATTAATCGTGTCATACCGATTTGTAATAATGGAGTATTTTCTAATAAAAGTCCATTAACATCTCCAATATGAGATAATGTTGAAAGAGAAGAGGATCCATCTAATTTATTTTCCCTTTGATTAGAATACAATACATCACATTCATAAACAAATTCACCAACAGGAGTGAAACGGACTGGTTGTTCTCTAATTACTTTATTGTTAGAATATATATATACTTGTTGAATTACTATTTTTTCACTTGTTTCATCATTTGGTGATTCTACAATTTTAGCTCTTTGTGCAATTGGTGTTTTCTTAATATCTGTAACAAATTCATCATAATTAAGTAATGAAGAATAAATGTAATGACATGGTTTATTATCTTCTTTCATTCCAGAATTTAATGCAAAATGGACATGATAAAAGTATAATGGATGTCCTGATTTAGACATATTTTCACATACTTTTGTCAATGTTTCATGTACTTTAGCAAGTTCAATAATATTTGATGAACAGTCATAATATGGTAGTAAGAAGCAACACATCTGATGGGCAAACCATTGTTCACTTAATTCAAAATCATGTACTGCTAGCCATGCATGTTTAATCATTGATTCAAAGGAACAACTTGAATAACTTGCTACTAAAGAAATATCAGCACTTACAAGAACATCAGCAAATAAGTCTTCAATAACTGATATGTCAAATAAATCTAAGTTTTCTGCTTGTTGTGAATCTCTAAGAATACAATAAATATAATTCATACACATAACTTCGCAGATTCCAGCAACAACATGTCTGTTATACTTTCTATTGATTTCTGCAGATTGTTCAACCCATGTTAAGAATAACATTGGTGCATTAACATATTGTTTAGCATCTATAGCTAATAATTCAAGTAATTCATCAATATCTTTAATTTCTTCTTTACCACTTTTTTTGTCATATCTCCATAATTCTTCTTGTTTATTAAGAATATCTTGAGCTATTTTAATTGTTTTTGAAAACTCTTTATCGAATTTACGTGTTAAATATAAACTATTATCAATAATAGATGTAGTTCTAAAACAATTTGAGTTATCAAGGAATAATGAATATAAATCATTAATCATTTTATCTTTTTTCTTTTTTTCTTCAAGATCTTCTTCTGGTTTAATAATTTCATTATTTTTGCCTTCTGCTTGTACAGTACCTGATAATCGTTTAAATTCTTTTATTTGTTTTTTTATTGAATTGATTGAAACAGGTACTTCAAATGGAACACAGTATTTAACAATTTCTGGTATATTTTGAACAGCAATACTATCAATACTATCTATAATTTGAGTTAATTGTTGAATATTGTTTTCATTAACTGTTTTATTATAGGTTGACACTAATAATTTTAATGAATCAGAAAAAAGTTTTCTTTGTGTTTCAAACTCAGCCTCAACTTTCATTCGTTTATCATGACCCTCTTCATAAGAAATGAGCCAAGTAATACTTTTATTGAATTGACTTAAATTATTATCAGTATTTTTATTAATAATATGCTCATACCAATTCTTTCCAAATGGCTCAGGTTTAATCCCATGGTCTACTGAACAAATGGAGTTTCCAGTAATGTCCGTTATTTGGAATTCATTTATTTTAAAACAGCCATTCTTTTGAAGATCTGCCTTGAATTGAGAGAATAACAATTCTTTTTGTTGATTAATTTTATTATAATTTATAATAATTGAATTCATTTTATCAATAATATCATCTTCTATTTTAATTTTTTTCATTCGTTGAACAATGTCATCCATTAAAAACAAATACTCACTCCGTTCATCAATTTTAAGACTTTTTAAAAACATTGACATTTCAACCCATGCATAGGTTTTGAAGGATGCTCGTGCAAATTTTTCTTGTTGAATTTGATATTCTTCAGCAAGTTTTAATTCCTTTTTATTTGCTTCAATACGAAGCATGAGTGCTTCGATAATACAACTTAGTTCAAGCCCTTTTTTTAAAACACTTTCCCAATAAAAAAAGAATGATTCCCATGGTGCCATAAATCCAGAAAATTCCCCTTGTCTTTGACTTCTTCTTGTTCTTATATCTTTTGTTATTTCTTCTAAATTCTTTAATTCTAAGATTCTTGCTGAGAAGTATTTAACACTAACAGGACCATTAGATAAAGACTTACTTATTGCATTAATATTTGTTTTAATAATACGAGCATTTTCTGCATTTAAAGCGTCAATCTCAACTCGTTTTTGTTCATAATTTTTTCTAACTTCTATTATTTGTTGAATCTTTGATATCTGTTCTTCAAGTAACTCAATAACCATTTTAACCATTTTTTTCATCTCTTCAACTGAAATAGGGAAGAGTGGATTAATTTCTCCTATTGCTGAACATATTTCATCGTATTGATCCAATAGTTTTGTACTTTCTTCATTTGCCTGACATATAGAATTAGCTAATCGCTGATGAATTGTTTTTAATTCTTTGTCTTCCATTGGTTCTTCAAAATAACATTCAAGAAAACTTGTTTTTCTTGCCCAATTAAGTATTTCTTCTCCAAGTGCTTTTGCTTTGGTACAAATGGCATATTGTGTTTTTAATGAAGCTTGTACTTTTTGTGTTCCAATTTTTCTCATATTAAATTCATCGAAAAATGACTCGTATTCTTTTGATATTGATGTAATCAATTGAAGTGCTGAATCTTTTAATGAACCAGTAAACCTTCTTGTGCAAAACTGTGCCATTTTAGTTATTAACAACCTATCAAATGGAACGCTGTTGAACACATCAACATGATATTCAGTTAAGAAAGTAGTGTTATTAGTTGATAATGTTGTTACAACTTTGTCTTCAGCTTGGAACCCTTCTGATGCTATTTCAAGGCATCTCCTCAAAAAACCACAAACGTCGTTGAAAGACCCTAGAGAAATTCCATTTGATAATTCTTGAGAACGAAGAATCCATATATAATCATCATAAATATTTGAATTTGCCATTATAAGAGCATTTTTCAAAGCAATATCATTTGAATGAATGAATTGAGAACAAATTGCTGGCATTTCTGAAATTGATTTTTTTAATTTAGTGACATGATGAGAAGACCATTGTGCAACTAAACCTCCAAGATTAGAAGAAGTTAATGAAGTTTTATTGCTGAACACAAACTCTGATTTTAATGTTAAATAGATTAGTCTACTTGAAAATATTCGTAATAATGTTTCTGAGCTATTAGCCATTTTAAGTAATGATTTTAGTATACATTGTGATAGTTCTTCTGATTTAATAATTAAAGGGAAATGAAGAATAATAATCATATAAAGGAAATCAACAATTGGAAGAATAACTATTCCATTTAATGGTATTTCAATAACAGCAGCATATAATAATTTTGACAGACAATTCTCAATATCACTATTAGTAATATCTCTTTGATTCATTAACATATCAATACAGTCCATAATAGTTCTTAACACAGAACGTAACAAAAAGTGTTGAACAACTAACATTGCCATATTTTCTTTCCCAGAACGTTTTATATCATCAGATGAAGTTGTATCACTTAGTTCAGTTATGTCCGAATGATTTACACTTCCTGTTTTCTTTCTTCCTTTTCCAGTTACTACTTTATTAATACCAGCAACAACACTTTCTGCACCTCCAACCACTGACCTTCCAAGCCCTTCAGCACTTTCTGTAATTTTCATTGTAAAATTACCAATAAATTTTGTTGGTTTTTTAACTTTATTTTTTGAAGATATATTGTCATCAACTGAAATTTGATGAGAAGGTAATGAAGAAAGGTTATTTGGAGAACTTAATGTAGTGTCTAAATTTGAATCAATTTCATCAGTTTTTCCTATTGACCTTCTACATTTTTTAGGTATTTGACCTTTTAGACCAGAGTTATGAAAAGAACGTTGTTCAGTTGATGTTGCTAATGTTCCTCTTCTCTTTACCCAACTACGGTCCATTAATCCTAACTGTGATGTAAATTCATCAGAGACATCAATAAGAATAATTCTACTCTGAAAAAGAGGGATATTTGCTGTTGTTATTGGAGAGTCTTTTAAAATCGTATTAATTAATTGTAAACGAGTAGAGTCATATTCTACATTAATATTAAATTTCTTTGAGGTAATTAATGAAGTAAATCTTATTGCATTTGTTAAATGAAACAATAAATCACAAACACGGGTTGATACTTCTTTTTGGAAATAAAGTAATAAAGTTTCTTTATCAATGTTTTTTAATACCCAAATTAGTGATGTATAAAATACTTTCCAAACAAATACCTCTTTAAAATCTTCAGTATTCCATTTTGATTGGTCTTTAATAAATAACCCATAAGGGACATTGAAACTATTCTCAAAATATGATTTTTCTTCAATAGCGTATGATATTAATGGAAACATTAAAGCTGCTATTTGTGATTTAAGTGTTTCGTAATGTTTAAAAGTGTCATATTTTTCAGTTATAGATCCGATAGAGAGAATTGCCATTTTTGAAATAGTAAATTTTAATGACTTTGTATGATTGTCCTGATCTTTGTCAGTTTCTTGTATGTCTTTTACAATTAATTTAATGTACTGACGAATCAATAACCCATGGAAGAAATGTTCTCTTTCCATAATATCAGGAAGTTCTGCTGTTTCCTTAAATACCAATGGCTTAGGACAGTCTTTTTCATATAAATAATCAAAGTCTCTTAAAATATTTAAGAAGTCAAATCGAAGAAGATAAGGTAAATTGACAAACCCTTTATTATCTAATCCTGTTGAAATGATTGGTAACGAAACAACATTTAAATACTTTTCAATGACTTCAGCAATTTTACCTAATCTCCATAAATACAACATTGACCTCATAAATTCAGCAAAATAAATATTTGCATGTACAAGAGATATTAAGTGTGGAGTTATTCTGTGTTGATTTAATACCATCCATCCTCCAAAAACATTTGCAATTATATATAAATTTTCTTCTAATTGTGTTACAGAAATTCCTGAATAAATAACACTTTCTTTAAGATTAGCAGCTCTTTTTGTTTGTAAATAAGCAACAATAGATTTTTCTACCAATCCTAAGAAGAACCAAAACAAATCAAAAATTTTATGAGAATCATTAAATGACTGTAAAACATTAATGATAACTGTTAAGACATAGTTAGCAAACTCTAATGGTTCAATAATTAATGGGTTGAAAGTAGTAATAAACTTTTGTAATACTATTGGTTTTGTTGTTGGATAGTCAACTGGACAAACGTAATCTAAGAAATTAATCAAATCCATAACTTTTTTAACATCAACTGCAATTGATTTAATGTTTTGAAGTTCTTTTTGAAGAATTGGTGCGAAATACTCCATTAAAGTAGCACGTGGAATATTCATTAAATTACAAACATTATCACATCCTTTTGTTGCAAAATAATCAAAAAGTTCAATATGTGATGCATAACCAGTTGCTAAAGATTTAATAGTAACAGTTAATGAACTTCCTCGATCAACCAAATCAAGAGTTGTTGGTAATTTTATTTGTGGAAGAGTACTTCCTAATTTAAGAGAAACAGTTTTATTTCCAATTGGCTTTTTATTGTCATACAATGGAAGAATGGCAAATCTTTGTTTTTCAATGATGCTTGGTGAATTAACACAATACTCAGTAACTGTAAACAAAATGTAATATGACTTTTCAATTGGTGTTGGAAGTTTGATTTTTATTTCATCATCCATCTGTACTGTTTTAAGAGAAGAATAACTTGAAGAAATAAATTCATTTTGAAGAGACTCTTTAAATGTAGGTGGATAAAATACTTTAAGTACTTGAGAAGAGTCTTGGGCATTGAGTAATTTAGCAGTAACATTAAAAAATTCATGTCTCTTATCTTTACCTAAATTAATTTCATCTAAATAAATAAAAAGAGAATCAAAATACATATCATTAACAGTTTTAGCTTTTTCTCTTTTTTCTAAATATTCTAATGAATAAATATTTTCATCTCCCATTACCATTGTTTGATTTCTACAACAGTCAAATACTTTATATGATGCATTCCATTCTTTAGATAACTTCATTACTGTACATTTAAAACTACCCAAAATAATTGGACTTATTCCAAACATACCAAGTACTGTTGTCCCAACACCATTTTGTGGGTTATATTGTTTCATTCGTGTTTGCCAATTATCTCCCATTACTAACTCTCCAGAGAATGTGAATGCTTTAGGGTCAGAGTGATTGTCTTTTGCTACTCCAATGCATATAATTTCTGGTTTCTTGATATAACGAATATCTTCATTTTTCTTTGATTTAATAGATATTGTACTTGATGATTTAATTGGAACTGGTGGTTCACTAAATCTACCAATTGGTTGAGATCCAATAAGTGTTGATTCAGATGTTCTTGTAGTAGAAGGAGGACGAGACAATATGTCCGATTGAATTATATTTTGTTTATTTTGTCTATTTTTTAAGAATGTACCGTCATACTGTTTTTTAGCATATTCAAACAACGAATCACTTTCTCTTGCAATACGAATAACCATAAAAGCATTTTTCATTAATTCTGATGTACATTCAAAAAGAACAAATCCATGTTGGAGTTCTCTATCTACACGATAAATGCCACACGTTTCAGTAATTTTAGTTTCTGTTGACTTATCATAAAAAAAGAATTGGATTAATAGATTTTCATTATTATCTTCTTCAAATGAAATAGAGTTTATTTCAATTTTGTATGTGATTAATTCTGACTTTTCATCTTTCTTTGATACTGGAAGATATGCAATAGAGTCGTCAGGTGATAAAAATTCAAAAATACTTTTATCAAGTGATCGTAGAGTATATTGTTGATATAATGGTGTAAAATATAAAAATTTTGGTTCAGTTAGTGTTGATTTTCCAAGGGCTTCTTGACTATCACTAAACTCTTTCATTAATGACTTGAAACAATCAGATTGAAAATAAGGAGAAGGGACGGACAATTGGTCTAATGGTTTAAGATAGTTTGTCATTACAATTGAAGAATCTGAAAAAGGTCTACTAACTGATGCTTGGAAAGTATATCCAGAAATTTTATTACCTGATTGAATTGATGTTAATAAACGAGGTTCATTTCGAAGTTTTGGGAATTCAAGAAGAAAACCATGTTTTTCATATTCTCGTTCTTGATTATATACTCCTAATTTTTCAACTTCTGTGAAGCCATATGATGTTCTCAACTCTTCTTGTGTTTTTTTGATATAGTTATCAACAACAGGAAAATCTTCTTTATGAACATGAACTTTATCACTACCAATAACTTTGTCATTAATAATTTGTTTTACAACATAATCAGGAAGGTCAAGTTTATATTTATCACGTATGTACTGTTTGAGTTGATATGAATCTAAGTAATTTACGCCTTCATAATCATATTCATTAAATGTACAACTAATACTTGCCTCGTTTTTTTGTTTTTTCCTTCCTTTAGAATTAGGAGTAAAACTCATTCAATTTATCATTTTTTAGTTTTTTATTTTTTGTTATTTTCATTTTTTTTTATTTTTTATTCAATGTTATAAAATTTATGTTTTATATTTTTTTTTTTTGATGACAAATTAAAATTAGTTTTTCAACAACTAAAAGAAAAAATAAACCTGAGTTTGAAAAAAGTCAATGAAACCTGCTTTATTCGAATATTAAAGTAATATTAAAGTAAAAACCACACAACCAAAAAAAACAACAAAGTGAAGTTTAATTAAAGGAGAGCAGCTTTAAGGGCTTTTTTGACAGCTTTCTTAACGGCTTTCTTAGAAGACATTTTGAGAGTTGATGTAAGAAGATCATCAACAGGATTAAATCTTTGTTCAAGATGTACTTCTCTAATAAGTCTTTCCTTATATTCAGCTGGGAATTTGTTGAGGATCTTTTTCATAACACCTATAATTCTTGTTTTTCTAGCATGTAATGAGACAATTTGTGATTTCATTTCACTCATCTTTTCAGCAATCTCACTTTTAGCTGATGGAAGTGCATTTTCATAATCAAGTTGGGCATGGTCAATTTTGTCGTGAATTTGTCTTTCAACGTCAAGTATCTCTTCATATTTAGTATCAAGTAGAGAGAGTTGTTGTTTGGCTTCGTATAAACCTTTAACCCAATTTCCACTTACTGAAACATCAGCACTGACACATAAAGCAATGAGGATAACAATGAAGGCTTTCATATAGAGTAAGATAATATGTATAAATTTGAAGTTTTTTCCTAATAAATTTTGTTATGTTGTGTTAATTTCACAAAATGTTAATTATTTTATAATATTTTTTATTATTTATAAAGAATTTCTAATTTGACTTTTAGACTTATCTAATTTATCTAATTGCCCTAAAAATAATCTTCCTATCCCATTTTTTTCTTTTTTTTTTGTCATTTATAATTTTTAAAAATTTTATAAAAACGATAAAGTAAAAAAAGAAACTGAACTGTAAAAAATGAATTTCAATGAAAGTTATTACTAAATTTAACTACGACACTGAAAATGATTATAATCTTTCTTTTCAGGAAGGAGATGAGATTGAAGTTCTAGAAATGAACTCGGATGGACTTTGGAAAGGAAGATTAAATGAAAAAATTGGTATGTTTCATATTTCAATGGTTCGTTTTATTGATCCACCTTTATATCTGTTTGTTATCCATAAATGTATTTCTTTCAAACATGTCTTTAATTTATTACAGGGCCCATGTTATGCAAGACTTTTTATGGGATAATGATGAGTGTATTGCTGCATATGAAAGGGATGTTGTTTTAGTTTTAAAAGAAGAAGACAACGAATGGAGTTTATGTAAAAAAGGATATAATACTGGTTATTTACCAACAAAAATATTAAAGAAAGTCGAGTATGATTTAACACCAAGACATAATAAACAAATGAACAGAATGACAATGGGAATAAGTTTGTATTTTATGTTTTAATTTAAAAAACAACACAATAATAAAGTAGTTCCTCAACCAACTATTTTACCATGTAGATGTATTTCACGATATGATTTTATTGCAACTTCAGATAAAGAAGTTTCATTTTGTGAAGGTGATGAAATGATTGCATTATCTAGTGATTTAAAATGGGTTTATGTTCAACACCCAGAAAATGGATTTGGATATATTCCTACTAATTATGTGATATTTGAAAAAGAAATTTATAATGATATAGTTAATAGGTATGGGTTAGTTATATTTGATTATAATGGAGATTCTAGATTCCACTTAAATGCAATTGCTGGAGATGTTGTTTATGTTGAAGAAGTTATAGGGTCATGGGCTATTTGTAAAGTTGGAGATAAAAAATATATTATGCCTTATTGTTATATTAAAATTTTGGAAGATTATGACCAGAAGACGGCTGAAGAAAGTGCATTTGTATTATCTAATTTTACGTCAGAAGGAGATAATGAATTAAATATTGTCAGAAATGAATTTGTAACTATTTTATTAAATGGAGAAAAATGGAGTCTTGTGAGGAAAGGAAATAATGTTGGGTATGTCCCAAGTTCATTTTTAAGTACTATCCATGATGGAGAAAACTATGCATTAATATCAGAAAATGTGATTTCATTAGATGATAATAATGTTCATATTAAGCAATATGATATTTGGAAAGTTCTATCAAAAGAGGATAATAACGTAAAATTAATTCGAGGGGGTATTGAAACGATAGTTCCATTAGCACAATGTGATATTAGAAGATTTGAGAAAACGATTAAGAGAGAATATGAAGAGGGAAAAAAAAGAATTGAAGAAACTATGTTAATAAAAGAAAAAGAAATTATGAAGAGAGATGAAGAAGAAAGAGAACAAAGAGAAGTTCGATATAAAGAAAAGAAACAAACTGAACAAAAAGAATTTATTAGACAAACAATGAGAATGAAAAAATCAAAAACTTCTAGTAAGATAAACGGAGATGATTTCTTAAAAGAATTAGAAAAGAAAAAAATGTTATATGAGTCTTCAGAAAATACTGACATGGCTTTATCTTCTTTTACTTCTCCTTTAAAGAAAACAATGACATTCACAAAACCAACACAACGAGGAAATGTCAATTTCTTAAATCGACAACATAAACCAACAACTGTTCATCATGAAGAAAAAGAAGAGCCTAAAGAAGAACCTAAAAATGAAGAGCCTAAAGAAGAACCTAAAAATGAAGAGTCAATTAAAATAAATAAAAGTATTTTTGAAGGACTTATTGAAGAAAATAAACAATTGAAACAACAAATTGAAATGATCGATATGTCTCAAAAGGATTTATTAAAAATTATTTTTGATTTGAAAGATGAACTTAAAAAAATAAAAGAAGAATTAGTTTTAAATTGTCAAGTATCACAAGAATTGGAAGAAGAAAAATAAGAAAATGAGTCATTGAAGAAAATAAAGTAATATCAAATAATTAGAACTTTTGAGATAAAATTAATTTTTCTTTTTTAAGGAGAAGAACTTAAAAAGAAATGCAATCACGTTATAAGATACAACCACTTCCTACTTTTATTATCGAAGTAACTCTTGATGAACTTTTTAGTGATAGTATTACAAAAACAATAGAGTATAATTCATGTTATATAGATATAAATATTTCAAACCCAAAAAATTATCTTGAAGGGTTTTCTATCTGTTTTGCTTCAAATGTTCTTTTCATTATTATAGAATTAAAAGACAATATTTTTAAGTTAAAAGGAAATGAACTCCATGGGTATTGTACCTCAGACCAACCAATAATAATTAATGGCAAAAAAATTGAATTTGACTTTGATAAAAAAACAGGTATATGTTGTAAAGTATTTGATAATATTAAAATGTTCCTTCATCTAAAAGATACTCCTAAGAGTATAAATGAAGAAAAAAAAGAAGCATCCAAAAAAGAAATGTCAACAGTAAATTCATTAAAGAAATTTCACAAACTACTTTGTCAAAAAGAATATTATTTAAATGAATTAGAACACACTTTATATAACTAAACTAAAATAACTAAATAAATAAGTTAATTTTCTTCTATTCTTTGTAACAAAAAATCTCTTAATTTGTTTATTTTATTTAATGAAATAATAACTTAATTAATTCAAGTAGCAAAATGAAAGAATTTAATCTTCTCCCCATTTTTTCATAATAGCCCCTTCAGGAGCAGAGCCTTCAACCTTTTTCTTTCCAACTTCTTCCCAATTCATATTAAGACATGTTCCTCCAGACTCTAAAAATGATTTGTTCATAGCTCTTCGTTGGTCATCAGTAGCATTAGCATATAATTGTTGGAACATAGCATTAGGTCCTCCTTCTTTTTCATCATCTTTCAATTCCGTTTCAAGTTCTTTATCCACTGAATTCCAATCTTTTCTAAAGATATTTGTAGCAGATTGTTGATGATGGTTTTGTTGTGTTTTTGTAAGGTTTTCCCATTGACTAGCATCACTCTTCTTTAATTTAATTTCAATCTTAACAGCTCCAACTCTATAAGTAGATTGGTCAATAATATAACTTCCATATAAATGATCAATAATTTGAGTTAATATCTCTTCACCTTTCTTTACTTCAATTGTGACTTGTTCATCTTCAAATGTAATTGTTACATTTTCTTTTGGGATATTTTTTTCAAACACATCAATTACAACATAATCCTTCAATTGATACCAATCGTATCGAAGTGACATTACTTATTAGTTCTTTGCTTGGACTTTTTCTTAGAAATACAACGTGGCAATGATTTGGACAAAACACATCAACACTTCATCTTTCATTCTCTTCTAAAATTTGTTTTTCTCAAAAATGTGTTATTAGATACAACCAAACGAAACTTTGATAAGATGAATCTTTAAAAAGAAGATGATGAACGAAACTTATGTTAATGTTAATTACTGTTCTTCTATTAATGAAGAAAAATGGAAACAACTAGAAAAAGAAAATGAAGAAATGATTACCTATTTTTTTATGAGTCAAAAAAGATTAAAAACAACAATACATCCTCCTATTGATATTCTAATTCATAACATTTTTTCTGATCCTCCTATTATTACAAATCGTGATAAATGTAAAAAATTTATTCATAAACATATTGTTCATTCAAAAATTGTATCCAAAATACGTTCTTTTTCACATAGGATTATATATTATTGTCAAATACTCTTTGTGATTGGTATGTTAATTATTATTATTGTTTTTTGTTATTCTTTTTTATTTTCTTCAGTTTCTTTTTTTGTTATTACTTCATTAATTCCTCGACTTTAAAGAAGAAGTAGAGCATATTGAAGAAATTGACATAAACACTTCTCAATATGAAGAAAATCTAATTGTAGATATATCTATTAATTGTTCTTTTTTTATTACTTCATTAATTCCTCATTATAAAAATATCAATTATTTTTTTTTCCTGTATAATGGTTTATTTTCACAAAAAAATAAAAGTACAATAATTCTTCATTTATTAATTCATAAAAAGTATTGATTTACAACTATGGTTAATTAATTTACAATTTCATTTCCATTGAACGAAAAGAAAACGTTCAAGCTCTGCATCTAGTGAATATTGGTTTGACTCATATGCAATACTAGGTCCTATATTTCCTTCTCCATCTATCTTTAATTCAAATGAAGATGAAGAAAAATTAAAAAGGAGTCTATTTTGGAGGGGGTTTATATTTAAATTAAATTCTTTTGTTACTACTAATTTTCCTGTTGGTAAAACGTGAAAGAAGAAAGAAGATTTGTCACTTGTCAACGTCCATAAAAATTTCATGTTTTGTACATCCATTTGACCTGTAGTAAATACTCCAAATACATGTGAGCTAACAGAAATAAGAGCCATGACCCCTTTCATTCCACGAATTTTTGATTCTATACAACGTTCTGTAATTTCATCAACTTCACTATCAAATAAAATACTTCCCATAGTCATTTTTGTTGTATTTTTTAAATCATTAAGAACATTATATTGTATTGGAGTTGCAAATATACTTCCCATGATAGTTGAATATGTCTATTTTATAGATTTAAGTTTAAGTAGTTTCCACTCAAATTTCATTCCTCAAAAAGACAAACAAATCCAATTTTCACTCTTTACTACTCCCTAAAGTCACTTGCTTTTGTCCCATTTTCACTTTTCATTAGAAATTTGAAAAACTTAAATATTAAAAAAAAAGAATAAAAATTAGAAATGAGAAGATACAAATGTATTATGAGATTCACAATAAAAATGTAATACACTATTCTCTAAAAGAAATGGCTCTCCATCTGTTTGAAGTGGTAACACAAAATTTGGTTTTAATGTAATTATTATGTCTTTTCCTTGTGCTAATGGAGTTGGTGTTGAAACTCCAATAGAAACTGACCCTAACTCAGCAATATTCCGAATATACATTATTTCTAACATTCCATCATCCATTCTTTGTTCTTTAAATCCTACAGGATTTTTCCATAATGTTTGTCCACCATAACACGTTAATGTTGTTTGAAATATTAAACAATCCATTGGAGGTAAATCAATTTCTTCTCCATCAACTTCAACAATGATTTTATTGTGAATATTTTTACATGAATCATCTAGTAATGCAGTTACACTCATAGCATATTTACATTTATTGATAAATCTTCCGCATGGTCCAATTTCTCGTTTTTCAGAAAATGATTGTGCAACAGCAGCATCAATTCCAATACTTAAATAATTGGTAAAATGTCTAAAGTCAAAAAAAGTAGAATCTCCAGGATATGTCGCTTTTGTTACTTTCCATCTATCAATTTGTATTCTATTATCTTTTATTCTTCTCATTAATAAATCAATTGGATTTGCCTCAAATTCAGCGAGTGTTGTTGATGGACTATAACCAAGACTTAAAGATAAATCATTTCCAGTTCCATAAGGTAAAAGAAGGTATGTTACAAAAGGTCCAAATTGATCAAGACATGACTCAACACTCCCATCTCCACCACAAATTACGATAATTGGTTTTTTCTCTTTTGAATACCAATCATTGTTTTGAGATATTGTTGATGCTTTTATTGTTAATTCTTCAATATTAATAAATTGCATTGGATGAAAATAACTTCCTAATAAAGAAATTACTTCTTTTGAACGTTTTCCACCACTAAGCTCATTTATTATAAAAAACATAGGTTGTTCCAAAGGTATTTTCAATAAGTACCGGTTTTTGAAAATAACTTCACAAGGATGAATGAGGTATGCTCCAAGTTTCCCACAATCACATCTACGTTCTAAGTTGTCACAACAACATTTTTCATGAATAGACTCTTTACAATAAATGCAATGAAAAGAATTTCCATCTTCTTGACAAATTTCTTTTTTACATACTACACAAACCCCTTTTCCTTCATTTATAAAATAATGTGTTCGTTCACTACTTTTTATCATAAGTTGTCTACAACAATTTAATAATTTTGGTTGGCATGCATTGTGGACAAGAAGAGAACACCAGACACATCTACATATAGCTCCTCCACTCTTTCCACATACAACACAATTTCCACCTAAATAAGAAGGTTCAAATGAGTGTTGATAATCATCTTGAATATTTTTATTCTACAAATAAGTACTTCTTTGTGATAGCATAAAATGATACAAACGTAACAGTTAGAAACAACGTTATCTTGACAAAATTCATGACAATGTCTATTACAGTCATTACATTTTAACACATTTTTCCCATTACAACTCATTCCACATACAAAACATTTTACATTTTGAGGTGTTTGAATTATTTCAAAACGATGATAGATTCGTTTGAAATTCATCATCTCTAAATAAGACATTTCTTTGGGTAATTGTTCAAGTGAAGTTATGATACTACTGGAATCTTCACTACTTTCCATGGTTTAATGAAAAAATGATTAGATGAGTTTTTATATACTACAAAAACGAAAAGTTGCTAAATAACAAAATTAAATATTTCAATTCTTAGTTAATAATTGATTGATTGAACTAAATAAATAACTCATTCATTAAATAGCATGTAACCTTAAAAATCATTCAATTTAATTATGGTTTATGGCACATGCCTTTCTATAGAATTAAAAAAATATATCTTTATTATGAAATATCAGTACTATTAAAAAATTTGCCACTTTTTAAATAAAATCTTTTTTATTCTTCTTTTAGATGGGTTTGTCTTCTGCTGTTACATTCAATACTCAAAGTAAATTACAATATAATGTCACTGGTACTTTTTTGCTAGATTTAGTGATTTTATTTAAAACAATGAATAAACTCTTCACATTACATTTGAAGAGTGATAAGTAACTTCAATAAATATATGATGTTATAAATAACATTTTTCAAAACAGATAATATACCATAGAGAAAGAATCTCAGAATAATAAAAGTGATAATAACCAATAAAAATACAAATGAAAATGGAAATGTTTTGTTTGGTTGAGCTACATGAATGAGACATTTGAAAGGTAATGGGTAATTGTTAATTTTTATCAATTTGGAAAGAAAAATATCAAAAGTTATGTTTGAGGTTGAGGAGATTGGGAAATATTTGTAAAAGACTCTGTCAACTCACAATTCATCTGAGAGGTTTGATGTAGATTGAGTTATTATTAATGAATTAAGACGTTATTCTGATATTACAATAGTTGTTAATACATTTATTGATAGAATAATATCATTAGATAACAATAAAAGGAAGGTTAATAATAAGTTAGTGTCTATTTGTGCTAAGAAGATAGGTTTGTTTATGATTGCCAATTGTTTTTGAATCAATACCATATTATTGTTGGTTCAAGTACTAGTGAGATAGATATAAATGAACTTTATGACTATTATGAACATTCAAACAAAGAATGTATTAACAGAGAGTGTATAGATTTAAGAGACTGTTAAGGTGATGATGATTTTTGCTTATATCAATTATTTTTTGTTATTCATTTCTTTCATTGTCATTTATTTAACTTTAATTAAAAAAACCATGTATTTCATGTAATTATTTGGTTTTTCTCTATTCATTCTTCATTTTTTTTCAAAATTTCTCTTCTTTACTATATTTTTATTATATTCTTTTGAGTATAGCATATTATTCTTTCTTTATTTCTAGTTTTTCAATATTATATTCTTTGTTTCTTTTACTCTTTTTCATATCATGTATTTATGTATACTTTTAATATTTTATGAATACAATCATTTCATTTATAATTTCATTGTGTATTATTTATTAAGTCATTCTATTGTTTGTTAGTATTTTGTTTTTATGTTGAACAAAATATGATAAATAAATATAAATCATCATTATTATATCAATTTAATACATTCACATATTGTAAATAAATGAAAATAATAATAAATGAAAATACAATAAAATTATTACTCTTTTTATTTTATCAAAATGTCATTGTTTTATTTCATATTTATTATCATTATCATTATAATTTAAATTAATATTGTTATTTATTATTAAAATAAAATAAAAGAATATAATTATATTGATATTGATTCTTCATTATTATTCTTTGTTTTTCTTGTTAATGAAATAGTTGAAATATAATATAACTATAGAATTAAAAAAAAGAAACAGACAATATTATTTAAAATATTTTTATTTAGATGTATTTATAGAATAATAAGGATAAATAAAACAAAAATAAGTAAAAAATAACCTCCAAAAAATTCTATAAAGTTCTAAAATAGCTAAGAAAAATCAAAAAAAAAGGGAAAATTCAAGTACGAATAACACAAAATAAAGAATATAACGATGATTTAAAAACAAAAGTAATAAAGTATTTTTCCTTCAATCTGGAAGTAAAAAAAACTAATACCATTTACCAGTTTATAGCAAATAATAGACTAAGATCATATCCAATGTTTCTAGTACTGTTTTGAATATTTGTTATGACGCAAAAACTAACAATAAAGAATTAAAAAAAACAGATTCTGTAACTCCAAAGAGAGAATTGTGTGCATAGTCTTAAGTTTTTTTTAGTATAGTACTAGAATAAGAAGATAATTACTCTAACTTTCTGCATATCATTGTTGACTTATTAATAATACATTATTATTTAGGTTATTAAAAATATATAAACAATACTTTAATGATTTTGAATAAAATATTAATGAATTTGTACTATTTATCAATTGTAACAAATAACCCTTCATTGTTGTGCAGTTAGTAAACTAATTTTCTGTTTGACAGCACCTCTTTGCTCAATTAAGGAATAAACCTTTATATACAAACTAGTAGAAATTGAACTAACTCAGTTTATTAAAAATTAAATGAAACTTAAACAACAAATACGACGAATTATCTTGGGAATAAAGTGCATAACACAAGTACAGAAATTCATTACAATTAATTTTCATTTGAACTTTTTTTAAATTCATTCATCATTTCTTTTGTGGTTTGTAATTGAGAAGAAGATAAATAATCAAAAATGTCATAAAATGATCTCATCTCTTCTTCTGTCATTAAAACCGCTTCGTTTCCATTTGTTTTTTGAGATTGAAGTAAAATCTTATTTTCTTCTACAAAATAAGGACTGCCTCCAATAAAGAACGTATGGATATCATCTTCATCTGTTGGTATGACAATTTTGTTCCATTGGTTTGCACATGAAACTTTTTCTGAATCAAATTCTTTATTAAATTCATTTTCTTTATTACTTTTATCATATCCTGAATAAAATTTATTTGATATCATATTTAGTTGTGAGACAATATCAAAAACATTTGTCATTAATTCATCTGGAGTTATTTCAGGTGTGATTTTAGACTTTTCAGTAATTGTCTCAAATCCCATTCTCATTAATTTGAGATCAATGTCATTTTCATTCAAACTTTCCCAACCTTCAATGTATGTCTGTTTTTCCATTAACTGAATTTACTAGTTTCTTTTTATTTTACAGATTTATCAATTTGTTGACACCATTGATTTTCTCATAAATAATAAGAGTCCAACAACACATATTCAAATAAACATAGATTTGTAATATCTTTATAATGAATAGTAATGTTTT